ACATGCTTCTTTACACACCCACTCACTTGCTTGGATACAACTTCGATAATACAAGTAGTGTAGAACACTGTGAGAGGTGCTTGGTAAATAATGCTGCATACAACGCTATGCCGAGTGCGAAATGTCAACAATACTTGCACATTCAACCCCTCATCAACTGGAAGACGGCCAGCCCTCCTTTGTGTGGCACTGAACTACTCACAACAGTGTATTCACAGGTTGAAAAACGACGTACATGCAACACTCAATATTGTCAGCAGTCCCACCTGGGCAGGGTGCTATGTAGTTCCGGTGTCGAGCAAAGGTAGTGAGGAATGTGGCCATGACCACACTACCAAGACACGATACCTGAAATGCCAGTCGATAGTGGGTAAATATTCACACTCGCATGACTTGCGTTGCATGTGATCACGTCCTAGGAGTAGGCGGTAATGCTTTCACAATTCTTTTCAACTCTAGGCATGATAACGCGGACACTGAATTCACTGCAATTCGTGCATTCGCTATGTTGCATTGCTTCGTGTCACCATCGGTAGTCTCGCCTCTTATCTACGTCAGTAATACATCGTCCATCCTGCCACACTGACTCCCTGTGACATGGGCAAAGACTCCAGGCACTGCATTGGTCGTAGCAGTGATCAGACCTCTTCCTTAACGACAAATACCCCCATTCTATTTGCCGAACGCTGCACATGCGCGTGAGAGAATGGGGTCACCATCTGTCGATGATGTGGAAGTGCGTGCAGACCACAACTGGAGACTAGGCTGCCTCCCACCTTCGGCAACTATCCCAGTCATGTGCTCGACTCGATGACAGACCGACAAATCATCTCTGCCACGATGCATGGAGTGCAGTGCTGGTTTATCATCTCGGCTGCCTATTTGTCCTGCAGTGAGAAATGCCCTCACCTGTTTGGATGGTTTCACTTGCCCTCCCTGCATTTGCGGTTAATTCAACTCGTTCAGTCATGTTGTGATTGAGCTCGCACCCACGCATACACCCACGCACATGCATGCACGTACTGGCTCCGTCGACTCAGGCTACAGAAGTGGGGACCGAATCTAATGGGACTGGAAAAAACTATTGTAGTCACACAGTTGATAGAAATAATGATCATCCTTCTCCACCCACTCAATTATCCAGACATCCACCCATTTGTTCCATTGGAGGCTGTTCGCATATCCGAAGCTGTACAACGGTCAGCATTTATTGCTGAACCCGTACGTGCAATTTCGTTTGATTTACCGCCGCCACTTTGTGCTGAATTAGACAATAGTGTAATTGAGTATGCCCATGACACCGTGACTTAGTTACCGATTCTTGCTCCTCCCCGTTCAAATTCCACTTCACCTCCACTGACGCCCATTTAACCTAGTTTTACCAGCCATATTACTCTATTACACCTGCACCTGTCCCCACTCTTTCTTTCTCTCACCCTTCCATTTTCGTTTTCTTCTTTCGCAATTCTTTATACCAAACGGCGAACACCACACAAATTGTGAGCGCCAGTGGAACCGCCAACGAAAGATTGCACCATGTTGAGCAATGTCACCTACTCGAAAGCGTCGGTCATCACTGCGGGTGGTTAACCAACATGCTTCTTTACACACCCACTCACTTGCTTGGATACAACTTCGATAATACAAGTAGTGTAGAACACTGTGAGAGGTGCTTGGTAAATAATGCTGCATACAACGCTATGCCGAGTGCGAAATGTCAACAATACTTGCACATTCAACCCCTCATCAACTGGAAGACGGCCAGCCCTCCTTTGTGTGGCACTGAACTACTCACAACAGTGTATTCACAGGTTGAAAAACGACGTACATGCAACACTCAATATTGTCAGCAGTCCCACCTGGGCAGGGTGCTATGTAGTTCCGGTGTCGAGCAAAGGTAGTGAGGAATGTGGCCATGACCACACTACCAAGACACGATACCTGAAATGCCAGTCGATAGTGGGTAAATATTCACACTCGCATGACTTGCGTTGCATGTGATCACGTCCTAGGAGTAGGCGGTAATGCTTTCACAATTCTTTTCAACTCTAGGCATGATAACGCGGACACTGAATTCACTGCAATTCGTGCATTCGCTATGTTGCATTGCTTCGTGTCACCATCGGTAGTCTCGCCTCTTATCTACGTCAGTAATACATCGTCCATCCTGCCACACTGACTCCCTGTGACATGGGCAAAGACTCCAGGCACTGCATTGGTCGTAGCAGTGATCAGACCTCTTCCTTAACGACAAATACCCCCATTCTATTTGCCGAACGCTGCACATGCGCGTGAGAGAATGGGGTCACCATCTGTCGATGATGTGGAAGTGCGTGCAGACCACAACTGGAGACTAGGCTGCCTCCCACCTTCGGCAACTATCCCAGTCATGTGCTCGACTCGATGACAGACCGACAAATCATCTCTGCCACGATGCATGGAGTGCAGTGCTGGTTTATCATCTCGGCTGCCTATTTGTCCTGCAGTGAGAAATGCCCTCACCTGTTTGGATGGTTTCACTTGCCCTCCCTGCATTTGCGGTTAATTCAACTCGTTCAGTCATGTTGTGATTGAGCTCGCACCCACGCATACACCCACGCACATGCATGCACGTACTGGCTCCGTCGACTCAGGCTACAGAAGTGGGGACCGAATCTAATGGGACTGGAAAAAACTATTGTAGTCACACAGTTGATAGAAATAATGATCATCCTTCTCCACCCACTCAATTATCCAGACATCCACCCATTTGTTCCATTGGAGGCTGTTCGCATATCCGAAGCTGTACAACGGTCAGCATTTATTGCTGAACCCGTACGTGCAATTTCGTTTGATTTACCGCCGCCACTTTGTGCTGAATTAGACAATAGTGTAATTGAGTATGCCCATGACACCGTGACTTAGTTACCGATTCTTGCTCCTCCCCGTTCAAATTCCACTTCACCTCCACTGACGCCCATTTAACCTAGTTTTACCAGCCATATTACTCTATTACACCTGCACCTGTCCCCACTCTTTCTTTCTCTCACCCTTCCATTTTCGTTTTCTTCTTTCGCAATTCTTTATACCAAACGGCGAACACCACACAAATTGTGAGCGCCAGTGGAACCGCCAACGAAAGATTGCACCATGTTGAGCAATGTCACCTACTCGAAAGCGTCGGTCATCACTGCGGGTGGTTAACCAAAGATAGTGTGAAAGAAAAAAGACGTGGCAACGCTTGCGAAACCACCGCAGTAAACACCTCATTGGTGGAGCCACAAAGAAGCACTTCATCTGGCAGCTACAAGTGCCATTTCATCGAGTTATGTTCTCCATCATCTCCGTGACGTGGTTTCTCAGTGAAGTGATTGCCTGAGGAGTGGTGGGTGAGCATTGTGCATGAAGATGCTCTGGCAAAATAATGTCACATGCTTCTTTACACACCCACTCACTTGCTTGGAGAAAAGCCTGGAAACGCAAGTGGTGTGCAGACCCCAATGCTGTACTTGGGACTGAACCCAATTGTACATCCACAATTCCGAATAGCAGTCAACGTATGCAGCAGCATAGGAGGGTCAACATCCCATAATCAGCCAATGTCATCAACTGCTGTGTTCACAGCAAGTTGGTATACCATTCAGTCCCATTCCTCATCACCTTCACTAGCCACACATATAGCCCGCATTCCCCCAATGTGCAACACGCTGATTAGTGTCCAAGTGCGACGACCAGCCACCCTTCCAAAAGTACGACTATCCTGATTGGTAAATGGTAGTCGACACATGCTTGTGGTTTATCATTAATAACAGGTGAGCTGTCTTCCCTTCAAGGAGATGAGAGACGGGAGACAAGCATGACGAAACGGCGAATATCATGTTGCATGCAGGGCATTTGCCAACTTGTGGATGTACAATTGGGTTCAGTCCCAAGTACAGCATTGGGGTCTGCACACCACTTGCGTTTCCAGGCTTTTCTCCAAGCAAGTGAGTGGGTGTGCAGAGAGGGATGTGACATTATTTTGCCAGAGCCTCTTCATGCACAATGCTCACCCACCACTCCTCAGGCAATCACTTCACTGAGAAACCACGTCACGGAGATGATGGAGAACATAACTCGATGAAATAGCATACCAACTTGCTGTGAACACAGCAGTTGATAACATTGTCTAGTTATAGGATGTCGACCCTCGTATGCTGCTGCATACGTTGACTGTTATTCGGTGTTATGACAATAAAGTCGTCAGAAGAATTACCCTGACAGAACGCAAACTCGACAACACCTTGGACGGTCAAACTCCCATGGCTATTTGTAAACATGTGCCCAATAAACGCCACTTCGCGCTTAGCTTGTAAGACCTCGCAAGTTATCCGAGTCTAACTGCTAACCCTTTATGGACTAGTATGCAATTCTCAGGTCCTGGAAGATCTCCATTATTGAATTCTTTAATTTACTCTGCATTGCCTGTAGCTGCTCTTCACCTTCTTCATTTGAGATGGTCCAAGTGCGTAAAACACAAAAGGTAGTAACGTACAAACAGAATAGTTTCAGGTGTCAAATACACCAGTATACAAAATAGAGCGAAGGGCATTACAAAAAGAACATTTGGTCTTGTTGTCCAGGATGAATTGTGAAGCGGTTATCTCTTATAATGGTCTCATTTTCCACAAATTTCAGCCAATCACGTGCACGGAAGGCTGCCAAATGCGAGTAGTACGTTGGTGCCGGGTACGACACACTGCGACAACACCGCATATACGCGTGGCACAAATAATACGTGAATTGTTGCAAATCATCCGACTGCCAATCATTGTCGTCGTAGAGAACGTGATAATGGGCAGGCTTTGACGTCCCCTACAACATAAGGAGGACGAACGACGTCAAAACAATCCTCACCTCCTTTGCACAAGCACTCAAGGAAGAGGTGGGCACAACCGCCCACTTCCACTCTCATCAGGTGCCAACAGTACATATGCCAACTCTACCTGGATACCATCCTGTGAGCAAAGGTAGAAGTCGAATTCACGATGGTGAGTTATTTGCGTGTCAACCACCGTGCCCGGTAGAACATTCTTCCCTCTAAACGAAGACATTTTTCGTTTACATGCAACATACATCCACTCAGTCAAAACCACCCACGAAACAAACAACTCCCAATCTACAGACTTCAACTGCCCGTGCAAGGCACAGGTAACTTACCGGCTCCCCACGGGATTAAATCTGATGTGGTGTCGCTTCTGCACCACAATAAATGTTATGCCCGGTTCATAGTCAGGTCTAAGATTAGAACAGGCTCGCTGCATGGCGGAGAGCTCAATTCTCAAGACAGGATCAAATTGACCTTCCGAAACACCGTCTCGGTAGAAAATAACCTTCGCCGGAAGACGATCATTATTGTGTTTCGCAAATATCTGCAAAAAGGGGAAAGAGAGGATGGTAAAATACCCAGAAATTACTCACCCAACAAAATTACACACAACTTTACACAGTCTCCCCACTACTCACGCTCACCGTCACCCAACTTTAAGGTAACAACCAATTTAATAGTAATAGCAGAACTCCTGCATACCTTCAAGAGGTCGGAAAAGATGTCCTCCATTCCATCAATATATTCTCGAATGGTTTTGCCCTCCCTTATTTTATCCTGTTGGCGAACGATGGCCACATACCGCATGAGATCGCGTGAAATTGAGGCGATGACTGCAGCAACCGATTTGTTCAAAACCCGACCACCACCGGTGGGATGAGTGACATCCGCACCCACCACCATCAACAATTCGTCATTCCACCTTCCAGACAAACCATTTACCAACCAATTGACGCCACCCAACTTGGCGTTTATCTTCAGCATAAGGTTGTCTGTAAATAAGACACCAGGTTAACGGACATTACCCTACCCACATGACATTCGAGGCAAAAGCACTGGATATGTAAGTGGCATGGATAGAGCTAGTGAATTCCGAGTGACAACTACCTGCTCCACGCACAATGCTGCACCTGTCACGAACCATTGTGCATGCTATACGAATACGACTGTGTCAAGCACTTTGAAAATGTCTTTCTATTTTACCCAACCATGCTATTCCAAATGCAAAATATGATGCTTCCATAAGTTATGCCAACATAAATAAATAAAGGGGAAACGCAACCACAGCAATGACTAGACAAACGACTTACTGAAGACATTTGGTTTTCCTATCGTGCCATCCTTTATGCACTGCGTAAACATGAAATTATGAAGGTCCCCTTGGCGCTTAATAAAGGGATACTCTCTGGTTCCAGTCAAAACAAAAATTGCCAGGTCCACTCCCTACAAGCACACAAAACTCATAACATAATCACATCCGCAAACTAAACAATCATAGCTACACACTCCAGCAGGGAAATCTACCACGTCTTCGCTGTGCAAGCACTTTTGACGCCACAACGAGGCGAGTCAAGTATAAGTAACAAATCCCTCACCTTCGCACGAAAATCAGTAAACAGCTGTGGCAAATCAGCGACCGTTTTCCGTAAAATGTCTCCCCGCACTTCCATTCGTACCCCGAATCTTTGCGCTGCCTGCGGCAGCCTCTCAACAACGAGGGGAGCATTTCTCGCCTACACAAAAACACAAACAATTCAGCTAAAACTCTACTATCACGCGAGGGAATAACAAACACAAAAGTACTCAATCATGCCCCTTAAACATTATTACAAGCATGACTCTCAGAG